TCAGTAAGAAGAACCGGTTAAATCGAACGATTCGTTCGCGAACCGGTCATCACTAATCTAAACAGTGACGACACAACTAAGCCCTAAACTAGGTGTACTGCGGTCAATTTCAGGTCAGGTCAATTCTAGAAACCAAACAGAGATGCAAACAGAAATCTACAATGTTAAATCTGAGCAAAACGTCACACCACAACATCCCCATCGGCGTTTTGGAAATGTTTTGATTATTTTCTTCATGGCAGACTTCTTTGTGTCTTTATTCGTCCAGCTGACAGTCACTGCTGAGCTCCAACAAGGTCAGAGAAGTTTCTGGAAACTCAGCCAAACCAGGTCTGTGATTTCTCATCTGATCCAAACTCTTCCTCGCACAGTATTGATTAGGCATCAGGTGTGCATGCATTGATTTAGAGTTGAATGCAAGAACTATGTTTGCTTTCTGACCTACAAATGAATGTTTGATGGTTACATGTCATCTATCATATAAAGCTCGATCTATATCGATTACATCAGACCTGATTTATAAACTCAGCTTTTGAAATCAGAGTTAGTAGTGTGTGTGTAGTTAGATGCTCAGGCCTTTATCGCTCACCTGTCATGCCTCTCAATGTCACCGCAGCCCCGGCTCCTCCGGCGCTCCCGCCGCGCGCCGTCCACATCTGCCGGCCTGACAGCGTCGAGAGGCTCCTGTAGGCTCCATCCGCGCTGGAGAGCAGAGGCGAGCAGGCCCGTCTGTGGCTGGAAGACACGGCCACTGTGACCCAGCGTGCGGAGCTGCGAGCCGCGGAACACGCCATCTTTGCCCCTCACCGACACGAGAGCGACTGCGCATGTGCGAGCGGTAAGCGCATGCGCACTGCTGTGAAGACTGATGCTGCGTCTCAATGTGCCTACTTAGAGAATAATAATTATACTACGCCCTTAAAGTATGTACTATTTTGGTGAAGAAAAAGTACACACTTTTGAGTGTGTAGTAGAAGAGTAGGCAAGCTTTTGGGACATACTAACACGTCACACAACTGCATCTTTAACAGTCTGCTCTGTCGCATATATACACGCACCCTGTCACTGTAAACTGGCCTGCCAATCATCTTGTCACAGTTAACATCCTCCATATTTCATTTAATTTAACTCCCTACCGTACTGGAGAGAAAAGAAGTAGCTCGTTGATCTGCCAGTCGCGGGTCTTTCATGCCGAGAACTCTGCTCATATTTTATGCATAATGATGCATTTAAAAGTTAACGACCAAACAGATGTTTATAAAAGTTTACATTGCTGTTGCAGATGAAATATAACACAGATAACATTAAATAAATATTTTTTACCAGGTTAAATGTTGAATATTAGTAACTCAAACCCCTTTTCTAAGCCTCTCTACCTAACCGCCGTCGCGCACATCCGCCATGTTTGTAGTTTTTAACGTGTTTTATTCGTGTTTGTAGTTCTGGACAGAATCCTTCACCAAAGCGCAATGGATTGTGGGCAATAAAATGTATTTTTAAATGTATTATGGGATAGCCTATCTATAAAATGCTTTTCTGCCAGTTTAATCTCAGTTTTTACAGGGGAAGTGCAAGTCTATCTCTAATATATCTGTTGGCGGAAACTATTTTTTCCGCGTTTTTATTTCGCAGAGACATAGAGACGGCGTGGTTTACTGACGCGCCTTTAGTGCGAGTTTATGGTTTGTAAATCAGCTCTGCGTCACATGAACGCACTCATTCAAACGCACAGGTCAGGATCGCTTTCACAACAGCGAGACACCCGGAAGGTTCAAACGCGCGACCAGCAACTCAGCATGAATCGCTTCAAGACGTCCAAATATAAGAACAGCACTCCCAAAATCCCCAAGAAAGATGTGAGTACAGCCGCAGCGCGCGCGGTCTGATTGTGGGTCTTGTGATCCGGGCTCCGAGCTCAAGGAGTGGAGCAGATGCACTGATGAAGTCTAACTTCCTCCGTCCTCAACTAAACATATGAAGCTGCATGCACGATCATAAGGCATTGGATGCATATGAATGCGTGTGATATGAGCGGTGACGACGCTGTCGTTTCGTGCTGAATATGCATTGAATCCAGTTGCATTGGGATGTTTGAACTTGATGCTGTTTCGCTCTGATCTGGTCCGTATTTCACATACCTGATTGGAAGAAGGGCAAAACAAAATGGCATAAATGCATAGAATACATTTACATGACAAACAAATAGGTCATTAAGAAAACGTTGCAAATGCAAAAAAAAAGAAAGATATTAAACGTTGTATATATAAAAGCATCTGGTGACCAGATTCACTGCGATTAGCCTCGATATGAAATAATTAAATTCATTAATAATGACATAAACCAAAAGTTAAACATTCTGATTTATTTTTAAATCATTAAAATAAATCATTGATTAAATAAATCAATTTGTTTGGCAAGACTATGTGAAAGCACATAGTGTACACATTAAAATATTAACACATTAAAAAGTCTGCATTTTAATCATTTTATTTGCATAATAAAAATATCACTTTTGTCACTTTTAATAATAAAATATGATAAACTTTTAATAATAAGAGGCTTAATTTCTGACATACACCTATAATGAACAACGCTGTAAAAAAACCACCTACTTCAAAAGGTCTAGTATAAAATCCAATTGGCTGTCATTAATCTAAATTATATTAAAATGACTCATAAAAATTATAGAAATTATATATGCTGCCAAATCTTGAATCCAAATTCACAATAACTTTTTAAAATATTTATTTTAGTTTAAGTTTTAGTAATTTTCTTATGTGCTTTTTTTCATTTTTGTTAGGCTTTTAATATTTATATTTAAATATATATTATTTTATTTTATTATTATTTTTTTTTTTTACAAGAATGCAATATTCATGACATTTTCAACATTCCAAGACAAATTGGTGCATTTTAATGATCAATTTGTTTAATTATTTATTGTTTCACAATAAATCAGAACATTAAACTTTTGGTTTATATAATTATTAATTGATTTAATCATTTAATTCAGAGTCCTTCAGCACATTGATTTGTTACCTTAGCTTTTTTTCACCCGGCTGCACAGTTTTTTTGGTGATAAAACTAGGACTTTGCATATTCAAATCCGATGGAGTGCTCTGCAGTGATATAGTGCAATAGATGGTTTTTCCAGGGACAAACCGGCTCAGATCTTGTTTCTTGTCGTCATATGTGGTGTTGTTAAAAAACAGCCCTGAGGTTCACAGGCTTTCGGTGTGAATGCTTCACATACCTGAGCTTTATATGATCACCTGTGTTTGTGTTCATGTACAGTATACAACGGCCCTAAAGATACGTAAGGCTTATACTTATACTTATGTAGAAGTGTGTGAATGCATTGGATATAGACCAAGTATCAATTTATTCATGATATATGTGATTTATTATATATTTATCAGTCATTTAACACTGTGATTGCCGTCTAGTTTTGCTTTAGGACCCCAGAAGTGGCCTTAAAGGAACAGTAACCCAAAAATGAAAATTGTCATCATTTACTCACCCTCCACTTGTTCTGAACCAGAATGAGTTTCTTTCTTCTGTTGAACACGAAAGAAGATATTTTGAAGAATGTTGTCAACCAAACAGTCGACGGTAGCCATTGACTTCCATAGTATTTTTGTTTTTTTTCAATTCAAAATATCATCTTTTGTGTTCAACGGAAGAAAGAAACTCATACTTGATTTTCATTTTGGGTGAACTGTCCCTTTAAGACTGAATGTTGAAATGGATTGATGTTGCAATGTTGGGTGGAAAGCGCCTGTGGCCGGGATTTGCATGAATATAGCATATATTATTTCATTGTTGTCACCTCTGCCGGATGTCTTTATTCTGTCTTGGAGAAACACACTGTGTAAGTCACATGACAGGACTGTAACACACTGTTAAAGACTGACAGACGAGTTTCACAGCACAGATCCACTGGCTTTAAATGTGAGTTTGTGGTCAAATGCTGACAGAAGTTTAGCTGAGTGTCTGGATGTAAAATGCTGACTGATGCTGCCGTAAGCGTAAGGTGAGATTGGGTCAGGATGGAGGTGTTTTTCTTATTTTTATTTTTTTTGCAAAATAGAATACTTTTATTCAACAAGGATGTATTAAATTGAAAATTGACGGTATAATGTTACAAAAGATTATATTTCAAATAAATGCTGTTCTTTTGAACTTTCTATTCATCAAACAAACAAACCTGATATATACAGTGGATACGGAAAGTATTCAGACCCCCTTAAATTTTTCACTCTTTGTTATATTGCAGCCATTTGCTAAAATCATTTAAGTTAAATTTTTTTTCCTCATTAATGTACACACAGCACCCCATATTGACAGAAAAACACAGAATTGTTGACATTTTTGCAGATTTATTAAAAAAGAAAAACTGAAATATCACATGGTCCTAAGCATTCAGACCCTTTGCTGTGACACTCATATATTTAACTCAGGTGCTGTCCATTTCTTCTGATCATCCTTGAGATGTGAAGGATCATGTGACACTGAAGACTGGAGTAATGATGCTGAAATAATGCTTTACATCACAGGAATAAATTACATTTAAACATATATTCAATCAGAAAACTGTTCTTTTAAATTGTAATAACATGTCACAATTTTACTGTTTTTACTGCATTTTTATTTAAATAAATGCAGCCTTGGTGAGCAGAAGATACTTCTTTCAAAAGCATAAAAAAAAAACTTAATTATTCCAAACTTTTTCGACAGTTTTATCGTTCAGCAGGTGAAAACTTTGTTAGAACTGGTTTTGGATGGTTTGGGTCTGGACTTCAGGTTTAGGGTTTCAAATGCAGATTCTCTGTGCTTTTTAAGAAGCCAGAAGGCCTTATTTTCATCTTTTATTTATATCTTTGGCTTGTCGCCTCATGGTGTAGGAGTGAGCATGATTGTGTGTAATGCAGAAGAGCTCAGTCCCGAATGCGCCTGGCGTGCGTGCTTTAGGCTTTCTCACACACTGTCTTCAGTCTGCTCCAGCTTCTGTGGATTGTGATGGTTATTCTACAGCAGTCGCTCAAACACCGTCATTCTCTGCGTGTTGTTTCTTGTTGACATTCTGGGAGGATTTGAAACTGTTCGGCTGCTCTTCTGTGTTTCCTCAAGTGTGTGTGTGCTGCTTGTGAAAGGCCCCGTCTGTGTGTGTGTGTGTGTGTGTGTGTGTGTGTGTTGCACTGTTGTTTTACTTGGAAAATAGTGTCAGTCGTGATTAATTTCATAAGCAAAGTGTCTAATAATAGTGGGGTTACTAAAGTGCACTTCAAGTAGAGTCAGATATGAATGAAATGTGAAATGAGTAACACGGAATTCTATATGATATACAAGTTGCTAAGTTGTGACATTAAAAGGGGTGTGTCGATTTGAAATATGTCAGAAACACTGATCTATAATATAGATAATAAAATATATAGAGATCAGTGCACATCTATAGTGATTGGTGTAAAGATAGTCGACCTTTACATTTTGCTTCATATAACAAAAACGTTTAGGTATAATACCATGTACAAATAGACGAATGTTTTTCATAATTTTGAATTCAGATATAGTTATTCGGGTTTATTGTTCACAGTAAAATTATTTTGCTTGGTTTAGGCTACTTTTATGCAAGTTTAACTAAAAAGAGAGAGAGAGAGAGAGAGAGAGAGAGAGAGAGAGAGAAAATAAATCGACTTAAAATAAAATATAACAAACATAACATTTTTATTTTAGCTACATGTCTCATTTTATTTTTATTTTAACTTGATATACTAAAATAACTAAAGCTGAAACTGTAATTAAACATTAATAAAAACTATATAGACATATTTTAATAGTAATAATAATTAATAATTACAAAAACATACAACAAAATTACTAAAACTTTAACAAAAATTAAAATATAAAACTAATTCAAATTTGTTCATTAAAAAAATATATAATAGTATTTCAATGGTACTAAAATAATGTGTGTTATATTTTCAACTTGAATACATACAGTATGTCTTAATAATGAATGTCAGACTCTGAGGTACTACTTTCGTAGAGAAAGTGCTGTGTTTCTATCCGTTTCCTCTTTCCTGTTTGTGATGATGTCAGATGTTCAGTTGAGAGGCATCAGAGGTTGATTCAGTTCATCAGTGTCATCTTTTGGTGTGTTCCAGTTAGGGCTGCACGATAAATCGCATGCGATATTTAATGCGCAT